TGCAGGACCCCTGTGGGAAAGTGCCCTGCACTACGGCCCCCAGACGCCTGGGTCCCATCCCTGGGGGGAGCTGCAGGACCCCTGTGGGAAAGTGCCCTGCACTACGGCCCCCAGACGCCTGGGTCCCATCCCTGGGGGGAGCTGCAGGACCCCTGTGGGAAAGTGCCCTGTACTGCCATCCCCTAGTCCCGTCTGCTGGGTGTGGTGTGCTGGCTTCAGGGGCTGGTGGGCAGGGCTGGCCCATATTGGGTAGGTGCCAGGCAGAGTGTGTGAGCTGACACTGCCTTCTCCTCCCTTGTGCTGCAGGATTGCCCTGGGCTCAGCATGGCGGCACTGTGGATGATATGCCGAGCTTCCTGCACCGGTAAGGACTGCAGCAGCAGGGAGACCAACCAGCTCCCCCACTCTGTAGGGCTGTGGGCTGAGCCTTCTTTCCCTCTGCTGCCCCCTGGGGCTGGAAGCATTCTCTAACCTTTCTCCTTGATTCCCCCAGGGACACCACCCTGCCTGAGACTCACCCGGCTGCTCAGTGTTACAGCCTCGAGAAAGTCCTACAGTAAGTACTGCCTCCGGCCCTCCCCAAGGCTGCCCCTAGAGCTCTCCTTGGGGGCACAGCATCGAGAGCCCATTCTGGAGGGCATGGAGTCTAGTCTGCTTCTCCTGCCCCCCAAGGGGGCTGCACCCAGAGTCCCTTCTCCAAGGGGTACACAATCCAAGTTAGGTCTCTTCCATCGCCCAAGTTGCCAAAGAGTCCCTTTCAGGTGTTGTCAGGGCACTGTATCCAGAGGATGGCTGCCTGTCCCAGCTCCTTCATGTTGGTCTGTGTAGGGCGATGATGGTTTATGTCTCCCCTACAGAGTATGTGAATGTACAGGAGGTGAAATCGGACATGAAATCCATCACCGACCGGGCTGCTCAAACCCTCTTGTGGACAGAGCTCATCCGAGGTGAGCCCCGGGTTCTGTCGGGATGGGCTGTGATGGCAGGACCCGGAATGGGATGGCTGTGGTGGGACCTGGTGTGGGGGTTGTCGGGATTGAGAATGGGGGGGAAGGTGGGCTGTGAGGGTCTGATAGGCATGGATGCTTCCCTGTGCCAGTGAGATGGCAGTGTGGAGGTGGTGTAGGGTCTGAGTGATGCTTAGTGTCTTTGCTGCTTCTCAGCTGGATTCTAACCTCCCCTGGCTCCTCCTCTAGGTCTGGGTATGACCTTGAGTTACCTCTTCCGGGAACCTGCCACCATCAACTACCCTTTTGAGAAAGGCCCCCTGAGCCCGCGTTTCCGGGGGGAGCACGCCCTGCGCCGCTATCCGTCTGGAGAGGAGCGGTGCATCGCCTGCAAGCTCTGCGAGGCCGTCTGCCCTGCCCAGGTGAGCCTCCCCCTTGCCCCAGGGGTTGCCCATGTGGGGTCGAACCTCCCAGCCCCAGAGCCTCTCTCTGATGCTTGTCTCTGGCATGGTGCATCCCAGGTAAGCAACTCTTCTGTGGTGAGGTCTCCCAGTCTCTGCTCCGCTCTGCCCCCTAGGATCTCGTCCCAAGGGGGCCTTGGTTTGATCCCCTCTGGGTGCCCGTGTATTTGGAGCGGGGGTGACTGTGTTCTTCCCTCCCCCCACCAGGCGATCACCATCGAGGCTGAGCCACGCGCTGATGGCAGCCGCAGAACCACCCGCTATGACATCGACATGACCAAGTGCATTTACTGCGGGTTCTGCCAGGAGGCTTGCCCTGTGGACGCCATTGTGGAGGTGAATGCGACCGGCTGCGCGTGGGGCTGGTGTCCGGGGGAGCCAGGCATGCGATCTCTCCCCAGACCTGTCCTCATATACCTTGGCCTCTGAGGGTCTCTGTAGGGCAGGGGAGAGGTCCTGGTGGGTCTCTGCACTGGGCAAGGGCACGGTGGAGTCTGTCCGTCCATGAGTCTCTGTCTTGGGGGCGAGGCCCTGCTGGCAGGTTGGCTCTGGTGGCAACTGTCTGCTCTCCTGGTTTCTGCAGGGCCCCAACTTCGAGTTCTCCACCGAGACGCACGAGGAGCTGCTGTACAACAAGGAGAAACTGCTCAACAATGGGGACAAGTGGGAGGCTGAGATTGCGGCCAACATTGAGGCCGACTACCTGTACCGGTGACGGCTGGGCCCCCCCGCACTGCCCAGCCTGCTTCCTAGACCCACCCCTGCAATAAAGGGCCTACACCCATTGCCACAGCTCCTCAGCACCTGCCTTGGGGGAGAATAGGGCTTCAGGGTGTGGGGTACAGGGGGGAGTGAGTGGGTGGGTAGGGGGCACACGACCCAGGCTCTTAGAGCCTCTCCCATCTAGCAACCCCTTGCTCAGGGGCTCTTACTCCTGTATGTTTGTATGGGGGGGTGGGGAAACTGAGGCCCTGAGCAGGGGAGGGGACTCTGCTTAAGGAACTGGGATGGGGGACACACATAACCCCTCCCTCCTGCTGTCCCAGTGCTACACATCACATTGAGTCTGTAACTGCCTTGGGCTCATTCCCAGTGCCGGTGAGAACTGTGGGTAACACTGCCCACCCACTGCTCAGGGGGGAAGAGCGGCTGGACATTCACTCCAGTTAGCCCCCCCGGCTCCAGGGAGAGGAGCCAATGACAGAGCCAGGGTTGGTGCCCAGTCCTGCTGTTCCAGTACTGCCCCTCCCTGCTCTGGTGTGTGAGAAGTAGGTTTAGGTATGATGGGGGAACTCTGCCAAACACTGAGCCAGGCAGTGGTCTGTCCCTGCCCCCTTTTGGCCCCGGATCTGTCTTGTGCTGCTACTATCTCCTGCCCTGGCAGGGGGCTGCTTGCCTTGCCTTCTGCCCTGAGCACCATGGAGCTAGAGCAGGGCCCTGTCTCGTTGAGCTGGACTCAGGAGCAGAGGGGGGCAGCTCCCCATAGACCCACTGCACTTGGGTGAGTGGTGGCCAGGAATATACTCCCCATGGATGGCTCTCGCTGCCCAGCAGAGATGAGATCTAGTCCCCTTTGGCAGTGTCTGTCTTGGCTCGTGAGTGGCCCCCAGGAGCCAGCGGTGTCAAGGTGTACTGCAGTGGCTGAGTGCCAACCTCAGGGCAGACTGTTAAGAGGCAGGGTGCAAACCCCAAACTGGCTGGGAGTTCTGGATTTAGATTTCACCTATCAAATGTGAACCTCTCGGGCATTATAACAGCCTAGCCAGGTAGTCTCAGACATCCCCTTGGCTAAGCGGCTCTATCTTGCCACCTAGGTAAGGTTGCCTGGGTGATAGATGGTCCCTTACATCAAAGATCACAACAATATTCAGGTTTCTTCCAGTCTGAAAGGATCAGTCACTTACCCTAGGACAACTGCACCTTAGATCTCACACCAAAGACAATGCGTGTA